TTGCATAGACATGGATAAATGATTATACAAGATGGACCTATGTGTGCTGGGTAGCCTAGCCATACTCAGGGAAAGAAAAAATTTTGTGATCACAAATCTAGCAGCTGGAAAAGGGCATCAATTACAAGGCATGCCTCTATATTTTCTTTATATATATATATATATATCTCCAAGATCTCAGTGAAGGGATCATAACCAATGATTGACTGCAAAACTTACACATACTAAAAGTTCCACTTAGAAGGCCCTGTGTTAAAGCTGAAGTTTAGAGAAAGGCCACAATTAAGAATAAATCAACATACCATCTTTTCATTACTCATTTTGACAGCTGACTTGAATCAGAATAGTTTGTATATTAGTGAATTCCAATCTTTCTATTCTGGGATTTAGTTGATTTGATTGTTCTGTATCTTAGCTGGGTATGTTTTTTTAAGTGTTTCAAGATGGCTGTTGTTTATACATATAGTAAATTTTATAGAATATGTGTATTGTTGGATTATTGCAAATGGTCAGCAGTTTGACAGATGCAGATGTATAGAGTACTTTTGTGTAATATAAATCTTCCTGAGAAATGCTAAGCTCATTCACAGGGGTCTTGAAATATTTCCTCTATTCTCTCTGTGCCAAAATTGGACAAAGGCGGATTTCACAGTACCTTTAATTGCATGTGAAGATTGATCCAAATGTGCATACACTAGGGCTGAAACAATTAATCGGATTAATTGTGATTAATCTAATATTGAAATAATCGTCAACAAATTAAGAAATCGAATAATCGCCCACTGGAGTATAGAGACTCAAAAACATGCCTCTAGCTGACAAAGCCAACCAGTTAGAGCAGTAATTATACCAAGATTGTAAATCATATGTACACATTTTGCTTTTGAGATAAAGATATTTTTCTTCTGTCAATATGCTCTATCCAGAACTCCTTGAGTGGAAAAGTTTGTTTCAACCAGTTTAATTTTGCAAAAAGTCTTCTTTAAAGAACCTTTTGATACCTTTTATTATAAATCAAATAATCAAAAAAATTATTTACATATTGATTTGTACAATAATCGTTAGTTGTAGCCCTAGCATAAATCTAACCTGGTTGGGATAGATTGATTTGAAAAGCAGGAGGAATCACTGAAATTATTAGAAAAAATATTATATATATATATTTTATAATAACTAAAGAACTAAAGAAAATGTAAAAATCTGCCACTCTAGTCGGAGATTGGCTGGAGTCAATTTTCCCCCTCCAATGTGCTGTGGAAGGAAAGAAAGGAGGAAGAGAAGCTAAATTTGTCACAATTGCAAAGCAAAAGTGACAAATTGATTAATAAAAAAACACTGACAAACTAAAGAGCATTGCTTACAACTGAAACAAATGTATTAAAACCAATCTAAAGACTTTTGCAATGTAAAGCATGTAACAAAAAAAATGAAGGTGTTTGAAGCTTACACTTTGGTCTTAATATTTACTACGTTGAATTTAAATCTAAGCAAGATGCTTTTTTGTCATTTGCATGGATGATCAAATAGTCCACTTGTTTCTCTTCTTTACATTCTGCTATGCTTAGGATATTTTTGAGATGTCTGATTATGATGAATGCAAAGACCCTTTTACTCTCATCAAATGTCCGTTTGCAGATAGCTTTAGCGGAAATTGCATCTTACATAAAAGAGAAAATGAAGACCAAAATGTCCATATTGTACCTCATATGTCTGTATTAGTGCTCTGCTAAATTGGGTAGCTGAAAATAGAAACTTGATAGAACAGCAATCAGACTAGCTCCCACCACCTGGCCTAGTCACCCAATTTAGATAGATCTTTGGAAATGGCTTGGGTTGTGCAGTCCAACAATGCTGGGACACAGTGCCTACAGAAAAGGGAATATATTGTGTTGCAGCACAGTGAATGAGAACTGATCTCAGTGTAACTGAGAATGCTACACAAATTTGTACTTCACAGTTTAATTTTAAGCATAAGTTTTGTCATAACAGAAAGGCGTCTTTTTTCAGTTTCTTCTTTTTTTTCATTTAAACACACAGCTATCAGACAGTTTTATGTAGTGTCCTTAGATCTGGAAATGTTGCATTTTACAACTTAGGCTTGATTTTCTTCATAAAAATACAAAGTTCTATAAAGCAATCTGTAAATAAGCATTTGACATTTTGCACAAGTTTTATATATGTGGATTTAAGGTGTGGAGGATCTAGTGGGTCACTGAAAAAGTTGAAAGAAATTTTTTAATTAGCTCAGAGAGCAGAAGGGTCATTAAAAAGGTAAATGGAAAGGGTTGTGCAGAAACAAAATACAATGTCAAAAAGAAATTGAAATTGTAAGTTGAAAAATAAAATGAAAATGGAATAATGATTAACTTTTCTAAATGTTTAATTAGAAAAAAATATTTATAATCACATTTTCAAATACCCATTTAAAAACAGGATTGGAATTTACATTTTCAGATTCCAGTAATTAATAATGGATTAATAAATTACAATTCCTCTTTTAAATTTATTTTAAATTGTGCAATTAGAAAATGCTTTTCAAATAGGAATTCAATGATTAATTTTAAATGGGAGGATCTATTTTCCAGTGACTCTCTAGGTCCTCCTTATTAAGGGACTGACTTCTACTACCGTATTTAAAAAAGAAAATAGAGAGCTGACCAGCTACTCTAGAGGACTCATGTATGAAATCTGCAAAAAAAAACACAACTAAACATGTTGGGGTTTATGTTTAATAAATTTTTTGTTTTGCTGTCAGATTTGTGTTTCATTTGTAGTCTCTTCTCTCTTGATAACATGCCAAGTTGAGAACTAAAAATGTGTTTCTTCTACATCTCATATCTACACACGGACATTTTGTCGTTCTAAACCAATTAAGAGACTTTCACCATTCACTTACACTGTAGCATTCCTTTATCATATCCTGTGTAAAATATGAGTTGTAGAAGTACAAAGCAGCCTTTGTTCTCTTAAGAGGCTTGTAATTTTTGTCATCTGTCATAAATGTTGCACTCCTTTTATGTGTGTTGTTTTTCCAACACTTCTCTAATTTTTCTTTTAAGTTAGGGTGTTTCTGTTTAGCCCTTTGCTTTGGTACATGCATGCAATGTATTTTTGCACAGATATTCCACACAATATGCAAAATAACATGCTTGTACAGAGTAAAGTGATTTGACTGGAAAAATCTGTCTGTATTTTTGCATGAATCATCAGGTGGTACGTGTTTCTACCATGGACAGCAGGGGGTGAGGGTCTCTTGATAATAATTGTGGCAGGGTGTGTTCAGTTTTGGTTTAGGAGCGCTGCTGGCTACTAGGGTTATTTAACAGCTCTGTGGGAAGTCTGAGGGTTTAGGCACGGGTGCCACTCTCAGCTTCAAAAGCTTGTTTCTACTATGATATTTTGCGTGAGCTATTTTCATTTAGAGCAGTATGGGGCAGCTGTGATCTGAAATCCTTGTTTGATGGGGTTGATAACAGCATGGTGGTTTTTTATCAAACTCGGGTGGTTTTATTTCTTCTTAGTGTCAGATCAGGTTGGTACTTGGTCTGTTTTTTAAAAGCATATACAAATTCCCAAAATCAGTACAGCTTATGCTGCTTTTTACAATCTCATGTTTTGAATAGTTATAAAATAAAACTGAGGAACATTTACTTCAACTCTTTGTGAACCTCTTTGTGCATTTTTTATATCTTTTTTTTTTTTGCCAAATGGAAGGCATGGCCTTCGTCCCATAATTACAGGTTTGAAATCATGGTTGTACAAATGTACAGTTAGAAACCACAGATTTTTTTTCTTTAAACTGTGCGACTAGAAATGATGACAGAGAAATTGCAGGATTACGTGTTTTTTTCTTGAGTACAGCATAAAGGTTTTACTTCAAATGTAAATAACTGTACTGGTTAATTATGAAAAACAATTAAAAAGTTACATATTCTAATATTTAAATATATATTTTGTTAGACAACTTGAGTAATTTGACATCTTTTGTTAATCATTTAGAAATACATCTGACTCTTTACATTATAAAACTAAAAAAAAATTAGATGTAGTCTCTTTCAGTCTCTTGCATTTTTAATTTGGTTTTTCCAGACTGTATCGTTTGTGAAAACCCATTCTAAATTAAAATGATGTTCTGTTTTCCCTCCTGTTTTGAAGAGTGCCATAAGGAAAGGGGCCTTGGTGTCACCTCGTATTTTTATCTCTGGGGACATAAAAGGCATTAATTATGAAATAAAAGTTCTTACAATTCTCATCTAAAAAAAATGGTTAAACTGAAGTAACAGTAAGGAGTATCAACAGTATGAAATTTCCATTAACACAGTATTTTCTTAATCCTATTTTATTCAATAAATATGTATATCCAGTACATCTTGTTTTGGCTTGGGGTATTTGTAAAGTTAGTTAAATTTAGCTAGTGTAAGAACATCCAACAAAATGTCTTACGAACAGTTTTATTTGTACATTTTTGGTTGCATTTTCATATGAACTTAGTTTTGCTCCCAAACAAAGAGCAATGTTTTGGCAGGTTGAAAAAAAAAAGGTGTTTATGGATTCTATCCACCCAGTGTCATGAGGTACATTTTCAGTGCTGAGATCTATACACAAAAAGCAAGTTTTTCTAAGTATAAAACCATATAGATTAATTATCCGTGGTTTTGCTGTATTTCATGATAAAAGCTTGCAGTGAAAATACTCTTTTTCTACAGATGTAAAATATGATTTAGATGTTATGTTGTAATAATGTTATATGGAACTACATTGGCAGTGTGTATGTAATTTGTAAAATGCATATGTATATTTAAAGGATGTATTAAAGATAAACATCTTAGTCAAACAGTTTTGTCAGATTTTTTTGTGTATGCCTACAGCCTCACCTGCTGGATGTTATTAGAATTGTTTGCTATTCTCATGCATTTATTTTTTCTCCACTGTATCCCTCTTTGTCCACTTTTCTCCTGTATTTCATATATTCCCCCTTCTCTTTCTGCCTGTCTCTACAGAATATGCCAGAACACAACAATGAGCTCCAACATCACAGACCCTGGTCTCCTCTTGACTGCCCACCCATCACCACGAGTGGCCGGAGCCTATTCTCAATCCAGTACACTTCATCGTGGAGAGATTGAAGGAGTCTCGTGGATGGTGATTGATGAGAATTCCTCTTTCACCAACAAACCGCTTAACATCACTCATCAAGCAGGGAATGAAACAGCAGCCCTTGACCCTCTTGGTGGCCACCCTGTGTGGCAAGTTGTCCTCATTGTTTTACTGACTGGCACCCTGTCACTGGTCACCATCATTGGCAACATATTGGTAGTGGTGTCTTTCAAGGTTAATCGGCAGCTGAAGACAGTCAACAACTATTTCCTATTGAGCTTGGCTGTAGCTGACCTTATTATAGGAGTAATCTCCATGAATCTCTACACAGTTTACCTTATAATGGGTTACTGGGCCCTTGGCACCTGGGCCTGTGACCTTTGGCTGACAGTTGACTATGTTGCAAGCAATGCATCCGTTATGAATCTTCTGGTTATTAGCTTTGACCGCTACTTTTCAATAACCAGACCTTTGACTTACCGTGCCAAACGGACCACGAAGAGGGCTGGAATCATGATTGGCCTAGCCTGGCTTGTATCACTTGTTCTGTGGGCCCCTGCCATACTTCTGTGGCAATATTTTGTTGGTAAAAGGACAGTACCCTACAATCAGTGCTATATCCAGTTCCTCACAGAGCCGATTACAACCTTCTGCACAGCAGTGGCGGCTTTCTACCTGCCTGTAACAATAATGAGTATCCTCTACTGGCGTATCTATAAGGAAACACAGAACCGCTCAAAAGAGTTAGCTGGGCTTCAAGGTTCAGAATGTCGTGGGGGGATACGAGGAAGGGCCAGAAATAATAAAAGGGGTGAGAAAGCTAATTTTGTACATCAGACTGGAAGTTCTAGGAGCTGTGGTAGCTATGAGTTGAACAGATTGCCTAAGAAAAAAAGTACATGTCAGAGGCTGGTTGGGCGATTCCACTGCTGGCCAGGGGTTCGGTCATGGAGACCTGGTAGTATCCGGCAGGGGGATCGTGATCCAGACCAGAGCAGCAGTGACAGCTGGAACAACAATGATGCAGCAGCCTCATTGGACCATTCTGGTTCCTCAGAGGATGAGGACTGTGGGGGAAGAGAGATGATTTCTCAAAGTCATGCTATTTTTTCTATTGTCCTCAGCCTTCCTGGCATTAAAGCTGCCGTCAACTCTCAGCTTACATCATGTGAGGATCTGGATGTAGCCTCAGAAGAGGACCCACTAAGGGGAGCTGAATTCAGCCAAGAGAGCTTGTCAACAGTTACCACGAATGCCACAGAAATTTCACCTGAGGGAACAAACAATACAGGAAATAGCTATCACCAACGTTTCAGCTCACGCAAAACACAGTCAATGTCCACCATTCAAGCAAAGTCTAGCCAAGGGTTTCTGGATGGCACTGAATCAACAACTACAATTGATAGGTCTGCCACCTGCACAGCCACAAAGTCCTCCTCTGTCCCACTGTCTTTCAAAGAAGCCACAATGGCAAAGCGCTTTGCCATGCGAACCCGTACTCAGATCACCAAGAGGAAACGAATGTCTTTAGTGAAGGAGAAGAAGGCTGCTCAAACACTCAGTGCCATCTTACTTGCTTTTATAATTACCTGGACACCATACAACATCATGGTGCTTATCACAGCATTTTGTAAAGTTTGCATCCCAGAGACCCTGTGGGCAGTAGGGTATTGGCTGTGCTACGTTAACAGCACAGTCAACCCCATGTGCTACGCTCTGTGCAACAAGACTTTCCGAACAACCTTTAAGATGATACTGCTGTGCCACTGGGACCAGAAGAAAAGGCGGAAGCAAGAGTTTCAACAGAGGCAATCAGTGGTCTTCCACCGAGGCATTCCCAGAGAGTCTACGTAAAATGACTATATATACAGTCATTTGTTGACATAATTTTCAATGCTGAAGACAGGACAATGGAAATAAAGGTTTCACTGGCCTAAAAAAACCAACATGTCCTTGTCTGCTGTTATGCTAAAATACAGCAACAACACATAATGGTCTTGTGGTATGTGTTTATGTCAGAGCATCTATGTACTTTGGCAAATGGGTACACTTGGGACGGTATTTCCCTGTGGTGAAGTCTAAAGCTGAATGCTTTGTCTTTCTCCTAAAACAATTCTTTACCATTTAATGCAAGTGTTGCTGGGAGAAGAGGACAAGGAAAATATTGAAAAGGGCTTTTAAAATGCATTGCAGGAGAAACATGAAAGTGCTGTTGACAAATGGTAAGCATGTCTATGTTACCGAGGGGGATTTACATTTCTTACCACCGCTGAGGGTAGTTAGGTTTGTATTGTAGAGTTGTTTTACATTTTAAACTAGACTGTTTATATATATGTTCCTGAGAGCCAATATAAAGAGGAGACTTATGTTCACTGGTGTCTACATTTTACTAGTTTGCAGTGACTTCTTGACTGGCATGTATTTTTAGCAGAACTTTTGTGGAATATCTTTCTACATCAGTATAGCTTTCCTGTTTATGATGGAATATATAAATAAAAAAAAAATTATCCTACAATATGTCCTTACTCTTACTCATCAGACAACTGTTATTTTGTGATTTTCATCATTGGTTTTCTATGTACTCCAGAGATTTCGAGCCAGTTTGAAAATTATACATTTGATGAAGTGAACTGTGAATATTCTGTGTGGAACTACAGTCAGTGAACTGCTGCTCTGTTTAATGTGATTGTTGTGGTTTTCTATGGTGAACACAATAAGTGCATTGGTTGTGTTTTTCTATGCTTGCAGTTTCCTGTCAAAAGTGATGACTGTACATTGCTGAAAAGGTTCTGTGTACATTTCTGATCTGGTATGCGAAGACTGATTGCACACACAGATATACATTTTTCAGGAAACGTTTGGTTGTCTGCCATGGTTTCTCACTTAAAATTTCTCGATGTCAAAGGAACAGCTGCGCCCTCTGGAGGCATTTTAACTCTTACACATTTATGGTCAGGATTCTCAATCAAAACAGCCACATTTCCAAGCTTTATGTATTTTTTTTACATTGTAATGGAAATGCCATAAACATTCAACTATCAGTGATTTGTCTTTCTTTTGTGCAGTTCTTTAAATTTGTTATAAAGCCACGCCATATATGATTTGTATATAAAGTCAAAAGCTTCGTATAAGACACAACTAGCAAAGAACACAGAATAAAATAATTCCTAATGTATTTTAAAAAGAAATTTGCTGGCTTTTTTTTGTAATGCACATTAGGTTTTTTTATCTTAAGGTAATGTTTTGCCAAAAAAATTAAAAATGTGCAAAATATATTAAAGGCAAAAGATGATCTGTAGTGCAACAGCTGTCAAATGAAGAAAATAAATGAATATGGTAAATTTATTGTTCACCCTATTGTTTTTGAATTATGTACAAATTGGATGTCAAAATAAAAAAATATATCTCTGGCAACAGTTGTTATTTTAGCCTGCTTTGAACATATTTTGCTTCATTGAAATCATACAAGAAAATCTTTTTTTCTCTTGAATTTATTTATGTTTAGGTATGCCAATCATATATATTTTAAGAAAATAAAGAACATTTTTGTGTTTATTTTTGTTGAGTGATGTTAATTGATATTTTAGTTTTGCTTTTTCCCTGATGTGAGTATTGTTAATTATCACTGATATACTTCTACTTGACAGCGTGACTTTATCAATGTTACAATTTCAGAAGCTTGAAAGTTTGTCTACTCCTTTCATAATTGAGTGCATAGCAAACTCCTTCCAGAAGTCTTGTTTCTATAATTTTTTTAAGTAATCATGATGTGCCTCTCAATTTTTTTCAAAGCACCAATTTTAAATAATGTAAATTAATCAATATGTCCAAGACCTATCAACAGCTAAATGAATTATTAGAAGTGGTACTTTTTCCATATAAGGCATTAACTCATGTCTTTTTCTCATGAAGGTTTCATATCAGAGCGAAGGGAAAACACTTTTAATTTTTCAAAAACACAGCTCTAAAAATCATAAAATCTATCTTGAGAAAATGTTTGAGAAAATCAAATAGTTTTACTGGTAATTTAAGTAGTTTGTTTCATTTAACCCAAAACAGTAAAACTAAAAATTGAAATAAAAAAAATACTGTTTGTTTCTTTTTCCCATGTTTGTGTTTGAGCTTTAGAGTGTATTTTTAACTACCGATTTTGCTGCTTATGTCAGCAAGTTGCACTAGAAGTGCACAGCTGAAGCTTGTTAGATAAATGAAAAGAGCCTTTAAAATGGGCAACAATCAACAAGAGTTGGAAAAATAAAATGAGTTGTGATTGTCCTGTAAGGGGAAATCCTTTGTTTCATGTATTTCCTACTACGCTCTTCAACGCCCCAATTCCTGTACTAAATGTTCACTGACTAAACATTACAGTTGTCTTTGCATTTTAAACACTTTTTCATGGCTCCATGTTGAAGCCTTATCAAATTAGTGAAGAGAGTCTTTTCTAAATGGGAGATGGATGGCTATGCAGTTTAAGCATGTGATGAGGAAAAAAATACCAACTTCATGTGACCCATTACGAAGGAGCGGCCCAGAGACGAAGACAGACATCCATTTGTGTTTTCTTCAGTCAGCACTAAACTAGAAACCAGGATCCAGCATTAAGGCAAGTATACCACAGTTTGTCATATTGAAAAATCTATAAAAGATGCAGATTTTACTAAACTGTCCAATATTAAGGTTGATATTGTAACTTTCTACTCTAAAAGGAAAAGTTTTCCTTGCTTGTATGATAAAGGAATATAATAGGTTGCATGAACTGACATCCCCGGTTATAGCTTCCTACCAGAAGAGATAAAAACTTGATATTTTATTTGCTAGGCCAATAATTTACAATTTATATGCTTGAAGGTATTTACAATTGAGGTTTTTAAGGCAACAGCTGTTGTTAAACACCAGTTTAAGATAATTTATTTCATTGTATCTATTTTTAAGAACTTTGTTTGCTATTATATATGGTAGCGACAGTTTGATTTGCATTTGCCATTAACTCTTGACTATTCCTCTTGTTTTCTCGTTATCAAAAGGTTGTAAGATTTCTTTGAGAAACAAAGTTAAAACTGTCAAATTTGGGATGGAATTTATCTTTTAAACTGAGGAAGATTGTTCCAAGTTAAGGAATAGATCAGCAAAGTGCAGGCGTTTGCAAATGTGCAATAGAACAATAACATTTACAAATATATAAAGTTATGTGATTTGCATTTGTGATTTAATCAGGAGACTATTAAGGCCATTAGATTCAGAAACTCAGTCATATACTATATGTTGTGATGTGTAGGGGGAAAGCATACATCACTGATAGTTTTGTGCTGACATTTCGACAGATGACCAGATTAGGGATTTTGTTTTCATATATTGGCAAGTAAAATGAGGCTAATTAAATGTAAATTCAGTTCTTGCTCTCTGTTTAAGAGAAACTCCTCCCATACTGCCCCCTCATTACAGCACACAGGCAATCTGCCAGATGACTAACAAGGAATGCACCCACTGTCTGAAGGGTATTGTTTAAACAACCTTGCAGAGACAACTTCAAGTCACAACCTTGTGGTTCCTGAGAATGACCATTTCGCTCACAGGTTGCAACTAAATGATTTTAATGAAACAAAATAACAGTTTCTTACATATAGTCAGAAGAAACTAAAATTCCATAATCTATGAAGTCGTTAAAATCACTGATGTCAATGTCAGTGGATAAGTGTGCCAAAGTAACCAAATGGATGCATGAAAAAGTGATGAGGTTTAGAAATGACTAATACTACTTTTGTGAAATATGAAATCCTTTAATTTATCATCTCAGTCTTGTGAGGGCAGCTTTGTTTTAAGGTCAGTGTCCTGCAAGATCAAGCTTAATTCCAAAGGAGTCAAAAGGTGGAAATATTTTCTAAGCCTATCGTCAAGTGTTACTGTACACATATGTATTAAATGAGTTGTTTTGAAGAAGAGTAATGCTTAAAATTAGTAGCTGGCTAACAGAACAACACATCAGGTAGCCAAGGTTTGGTTTCCTTATGAGCGTCTGCTCCTACCCAGATGTACCTGCATGTTTGAAAATCCAATTAGTGTATGCAGTTTGTACAAAAAAGAAAAATGTTATAGGGATCAAGAGGAAATGTTGGGTTTAATGCTAAATAAAGTTGGTGGATGTTTGCAGAGGGATTAAAACATCAGTATTAGTTTAGAAGTTTGAAAATGGCCAATTGACATTATTCTCTATAAAGTAATGATTACAGATTACTCTCATGTGTGATCTTTGAATGAACCCATCTACCAAACAGAAACCCAAAACCATAATTTTGCATCTTCCACATCATTTCTACCCTGTGAAATATAGCTTTTAAGACATGCATCCAAGCACTTGAAGATCTTGGATTTTGGCCATTTTAGATTGCAAAAATATTTTCCAATAGTGAATGGCTCCATTCATACCTGGCACTAGCATGCATCTTTGCAATATCTCTACTGTATATTAGCAGGTGTAAAAGTACTCGAATCCCAATTCTTACTGCCTTAACCTGCATCAGTATGGCAGTCTGAAAACAATGCATTAAAGGACACATTGAGGAACCATCCTCTGAAACTAACAACCTGCTGCTCTTTTGAAGTAGCTAGTTAACTTTAAGGTTATTAAAAAAAAAATTGTAAGAACAATCAAGGAAAATGGTGCTGTTTACTAAGGCTATTTTATCACTGCAGGTATTATTGTTCAACACAGTTTTTTTTGTGTGTTTTTTTCTGTTACCTTTAAAATCTTGACCATATCTCACTCTGGTATGAACTGTTTGCGGCTCCAAACTGACCCTCATCTGCATAATAAAGAGTGTCATCACATGCAGTGCAACAGTAATGGAGAAAAAGAGGTGCAATGGCTTAACTGCACAGCAGAAGCACTTTATTTTGTCAGCAAGTGCTAGGTGGGAAAAATCTGAAGAAAATAGAGAGTAACTCTTTATTGTGGTGTTTTCTCAAACAGACTTTATTTTCCATCCAGACTGATTAAGACTTTTAGAGTTCAGTGTTTTAGCTTATATTAAAATCTCACAAGAAAAAGACACATGGGAAGAAATTGACAGCTGTTGGAGTACTTTATAGTTTTAAACCTAAGTCAGTGACCTGTAGTGTAGAACTATAGGCTCTAGAGTATCTTAAGTATCTTTTTCAGGTGAGGTCTTTCCCTTTTATCTGAAAATTTCTTTGATTCTCCAATCAAGGATTGTTCTGCATGTTGTCTACAGCTAATACTTAGCATTACATCCTACTTATTCATGATAAGGAGATAAACTGTGAGCCCAGTGTGTAGCCCATATGTGATCATGCTAAGAAGTGCTATTGAGTTAATAAACTAACAAAAAACAGGGTTTTTTGCACCAAAGGTGTAGTATTCAACCTGATCCCCAAGTAGTTAGTTAGTCAATAAGACCATATTCATGATAAGGAGATAAACTGTGAGCCCAGTGTGTAGCCTATATGTGATCATGCTAAGGAGTGCTAGGGAGTTAATAAACTAAAAAAACCAACAGGGTTTTTTGCACCAAAGGTGTAGTATTCAACCTGATCCCCAAGTAGTTAGTTAGTCAATAAGACCATATTCCATTGAGGCAAATTAACCATGACAAAGAAATACTATAGCTATTTAGATACATGCCTAGTTATTTCAATAGGCTCTTACTGTGACAGGTCCTTGTGATAATTATCTGAATAGCCAAGAAGAGTCAAAAGTTTTACCATTTAGTAATTCAAATTAGTATGTCTTAGCTTCTCCTTTTTCCTCACCTTAACCAGTATGAACAAAGGCTTGCTGAAATAAAGTCAATATTTCCTTGTATGTCTCTCTTTACAGCATCCTTGGCAGCATTCCTTTCTTCTGGATGAAGTAAAAGTGGACATGATGCACACTATAAAGACGGTGGAAACCCAGGTTCCCTTTCTTAAGGAGAGTTTTTTTACTTCAACCTTTAAAGGCAGGAGGAAGAGTAGTGTGACCCACATCCTCCATAAACAGCAATCACTCTTAGATCAACAGCAGTGCATTATAGAGCACCAGCAGCTAATTCCTAAGCAGCTTCCCCCTAGTTCAGTGGAAAATGGAGCAGAACAACAGAGCTCCGAGCATCAGCGGCTTGCTCGCTCGATCAGCAACCCATTATGTAAGACGCTCGAGCCTACACAAGCACATGGGGACAGAAAGGAGGGGCTAAAGGAGAGAAGGGATCAGAGAATGAGTGAGGCTTTGCATGGGAGGAGGAAGGGAGAGCCTGTGGCTGACAGTGCCAGTCTCCTCCTACTTTCATCATCATCATCATCAGGAGTAGCTGTGCTGGGGGAGCCAGCATCATCTTCACATCTGCTGCCAACTGTGGGGAGTAAACAGCAAGGCTTAACTATCTCTGGAAGAACTTGGATCAAACAAGTACCACCATCCTTGAGGGTCGAAGGGGAACCCCAGAATCCCCAACCTCA